AAGATCAATTCCTTTAAGATCTAAGACAGTTATAATGAAACGCAAAAAAGCGTATTTTTTATTGGTGCTTTGCGGTACTAAATTTTTAAAATAAAAGAATTAACACAGATTATCGTTAAAAAAGTATTTTCTTTAAATACCTTTAATAAGTGTACTACAATTTTACTTGTAGAAAAATTCAACTTACAATACAATAATTTTATTAAAAATCACTTAATTAGGTACTTTGATAATAATTTGTTTTCTGTTTTTTAACCCTCTGGCATATAAATAAATTGCCCGAAGAAATTAAACTTCAATTTTTACTAAAGGAGAACTACAGGCTGGTTTTGAAATAAATGGCAACATTTTACAGGGTGTTAGAATATGAGTAATATAACATACAAAAAAAACATACTTAAGTAATAAATTTTTTCGTAATTCTCTCTATTACCGAAAAAAAAAGTTACTTTCTGATTGGAATGACGTTTATTTTATACTTGAAGTAACACTTTCTTACTATATTTTTTCCCAAAATATGCTTAGAATATATTTGTTGCAAATCAAATATTAGTACCTATGCAAAGTAGAAATTGGGCTAAATCACAATCTTATTACGGAAACGCATTTTTGAAGCGGATACACTATTTTAGAGATCTACAGTGAGTCAACATTATTTTTTCCTCAGTAACCGTGCGAGTTACGAAAAAGTTTATTTAATTATTTTTATGTTATATGTCATGATCTGATAACCTGTAAAATTTAGACTTTTATTTCAAAACAGCCTTGTACTCGTATAATTCGAGTCTTTTTTTTTAATTATTTATTTTTTTTATAATTTCTGTCACATTTTTTACGTTATGTTATATATGTAGGTATGTGTATGAAAACCGAATTTTGAAAATCACATTTTTTAGAAAAAAAGATTTGCGATGATTTCCATCTTTTCCTAAACTCTGGATTCTAGTCTGTAGACTTGTTACTTAAAATCATTAAGTATTCATTTTTCTTTAGCACGATTTATGCAAAAAGGAAGCTATTTCTTCCACAGAAACTCTCTTACAATTTTTTTCCACGTTATTTTCATTATTTTTACAAAAGAAATTAAATTAATTAGCACGAAATATCACTTAAATAATTACTAAGTAACATCTAACTACGAATGTAACTCACAACTTCATTTGTTTTAACAAATTTTAGTTGCTTATTAAATTATCAACGTGTAATTGATTTTTTCTAGTTGATGTTAAAAAATTCGCCATGCCTTTGTTTTTAAAGATCAAACTTTGTAATTTACAGTTTTCAATACATTGTCTCTTAGAATGCAAAATCGCTATCTCAAAGCGTTCCATAAATTTGAGGACATTAAAACAGAATTAGTTTCTTTTGTTGCCCGTCGTGCAGTACTGTTTTATATACAGTGGAACTCCTCTAAATAAGATCGCTAATAGCGAGAAATTCTGAGAAATCAAAATCCTGCGAGTCGCCATTACGTATTTTGTACTAGAATTTTTTTGGAAATGTTGTTTTTGGTCTTATTTTTCTCATTTTCTCAGTCTTTTCAAGCAGAGAACATTTCGTCTTTCTGTATCAATATGTCGTCCTCGAAAATAAAATCATTTTCTATCACAGAAAAAATATCAATAATAAAAGAGTTCAAAAGTGGTAAAAAAGAAGCTGTAATCTGCAAAGAGAAAAGTTTAGCGCGTTCTACATTGGCGACAATTTTAAAGAACAAGGACAAGAGCCTTGTACAATAATTGGAAAGTGCAATTGATAAGATAAAAATGATTCATTACAGAAAACAAACAAAAATTACAGATTTTTTTTCTTAAATATTGTTTTAAACTTCTTTGATATGTATAAAAAAATTATTCATCCTTCAAAATTTTTTCGTATATCATGCCAAAAGATAAAATAAAAACTTTTATTTACCAATAAATAATAAATGTATTTTTGTTGAAAATAATTATGGTTCCTTTTCAAACATAAGGCACCATCACCTTTTAGAGGTGCTTACGTAATTTTTTATTTGCAATGGCTTTTCCGCAGCTTTTTACAACTACAATTTTAATAAATGTTGGTCTGAAATATAAGTAATTCATCCACAAACCGAAAGATGTTCGGATGTACCAAATTAAAACAAATGGGAGTGTACAAGTATCTAACTGAATAAAACAACTAAAATCGTGCATGCTTAGTATATAGTGAAAATAATAAAAGTTATTATACATAAAAATTACAAAATTATGTTTTTTAAGTGGTACGTATCTACTAATTATATTTCTATATTTTGAGAACAAAATTAATGATGGTTTTTCAATAAGAAAATTATTCAAACTAGGTATATATTGATAGTTATAACAGCCTCATCGTAAATTTGTTTCCATTGAATCTTTGACACTCGTACCCAACTACCTGATCAGGATTCAACCTCGTAAAGAACAGAGTGTGAAAAATAAAGAATCTCGATACATTTTCAGTTTCATTTAATTCTGACTGATTATTAATTAACTATACATCGGATCGCAAAATTGAAAATTTTCCCAATTTTCTGATCTGAATCTACACGAGATTAAAAAGAAATAAATCAATTAAACACATTTTCATTATTACAGAAATTCAAAAGTCTATTAAAAAAATAAAAAAATTGACAATTTGTCCTTTTTATCTCATGTAGAAAAATATACTCTTTTACATTGTTAAAATAGAAATTAAAAATGTTGATACGTTTTTGAGTTATTTGAGGGCACATTTAACATTAATTTTCCCGATATCTCTAAACGGTCGAGTTCCCCTTAATAATTAATTTACATAATACATATGTAAAAATTTTTATTATCCATGACTGTTTATAGCAAAAATCGGGTATAACGAACAAATATGTTGTCCCCTTGAGTTCTCGTTATAGAGGGTTCTACTGTAGTAGTTTTTTTTAATTTATTCAAGCCAAATTAATAGTTAATTTGGTCATTACAAATGATTTTAAGTATTTCTACTTTCAGTATAGTTTTTAAAATGATTACATTTGAAATTACAACAAAATTACTACAAATAAAAATCTCGAAAAATTGCACACTTCAAGTTAATAATAGAATTAAGGTTACTATTATTCAGAATAGGGTTTTGTTGAATGGATAGAATTGATTTCTAGCAAACTTTTTTTTATTTGTTGGTCCTTCAATAAACGTATAACAGAACAAGATAATAAAAACCTAAACATGCTCTGGCTAAATCCGGACTGTTGGTCACCTTATCTTACGTACGTATTGAAAAGTTCCACCTCGTTTAGGATCTCATCGGCCAGAGTTATTTAAAAAATACCATATTAAAATAAACCTCTGAGTTTACAATAAATTGAGATGACCGAAGTTCTAAACAATGCTCCGCCTACGGTTTGGCCCATTATACTGATGCAAATGTTGTGACGTATGTTAGAAATCATTTTATAAATATCACTACCACAGTCATCAGATGTTGTTTTTTAGAAAACACTTCCAATTTACAAATTCTTTTAATACTAATAACCAGAGCCGTACCCAAGGGGGGGGGATTAGGGGG